TCTTTATTTTTGAACAATTGAGCATGAGTTATATCATTCATAAATTATAGTGAAAAGAATAAAAAGGGATTTTACTTTAAATAAACTCCGATTTCAATAGAAATGGAGAATGATAGAATAAGAAATAGGACATGATCATGGCTGTCAATATATATGGAAACGACACGAAAATAAGTAAGTTTATGGTATCAACCTTAACGAAAAATAAGGGGAAAAGGAAAAGATCGATAAATTTATTTAGGATAAACGAAAGAGTATAAGATAAAATCTGATACATATATATAGAAAATGACACTAAATGTAGATTGTTACTAACCTATAGAGGCAAAACAAGTATCAAAGGCATTAGCTGTAAACCAATAAATAGATCATCCATTATGAATAACTATGATAGAAAATTGAAACTATATTTAATTTAAGTGAACCTCAACATGTTTTTTGAACCAGTCAATTTGGAATTTTCTGTTTAGAATAGGATTAGAATAAATGTCCAAAGGATGAATGTTATTTAAAATATATAGCATTTTAAACTGTTGATGAATAGGAAAATGAATATGAAATAATGAAATTAGATTAAGAATATATGATGCAAGACCTCATATTAATTCTATTAGATAATAAATTGCTCATTTAATCGTCTTTACATTAATTATTCTTTCTTTGCTTTTTGAATATGTACTCCATCATAAACATAATAAATATCTTCCTATACGTCTCCCTTATATTCAGCCTAAATATAATGCCATCTACCTTCTAATTAAGTATACAATATTGTAGATTGTGCATCTGAAGCATCTTAATTAATATCATAGCACGACATCAATCATGTAATAAATGTTCACTTAACTCTCAATCACCAATTACAATCTTGTGGTTTCATTTCCGAAATCTAGATGCAAATTTTAACAAGAATCCAACTTAATATTCTTATATACTCTCAATCTTTTAATTTGATTCTGCAATTGTTATATAATAACACTTTACTTATATAGATATAAGGAATCTAGTAAGTAGAAATATTGAAAGTATATCTGTTATATATGATAGAAGAAACCTAGATGAAAAGAATTAATTAACAAGATTTAAACAAGAAATTAGAAAGTATGGAATATAATTAATAGTTTAGATGGTTTAAGAGTTAAAAGAGTACTTAATTAATGTATAGATTAACAGCTAATGGAGAAGAATACAGATTTTATTGTTATCCTTTAATTTTTCATCACATAAAATTGAAATTTCGATTAACACAG